CAGCTAAAGGCGATCAGTAAACCAAACAACTGACTATGGAACAGAGCAATCTTTATCTACACAAATTTTATACACAGCTGGGCCACTATCCAACACATGGCATCAGTGTGCATCCAACTAAGCTACCGGCATTGCCTGGCAATAAGCCGGAGCAAATTGACGAGCTGGTCGCCGTGGAGTTGCAGCATCTGAAGTCCCACTATGCCGACGAGGAGCAGCGCTATGTGGACCAAATGCTCATCGAGAATCCCATTGTGGTTGAGCGGCGTGCGGCACCAACCAAAGCACAGAACACAACAATGGCAGCCACGACACAGACCCGCGCCCAGTGCCAGATCCAGGCGCAGACCCAGACCGTGCCCAATAGTCGCGACGCACAGCGCCAGCGCGCCGAATCCTGCCGCAAGTCGCGCTACAACAACAAGATCAAGAAGGCGAAGCTGCGTTTCCGGCACAAGTTCGTCTGCAGCCAACTGACGGAGAGCGCCGGCGCCCTGGACTACATGCGCGAGGTGATCGCCCAGGCGGAGGCGCAGCTAATGGCCCGCGGCTTCAGTCAAGTTGCCCTGGAGCGAATGCGTCAAAACTTCGGCGTGGACCGCTGTGGTGCAGCGATAACGACAATGGACCATTGATCCCAGCCGCTGGCGTACTACATTACACTAATTTTAAGTTGTACAAAGAGTGAGCGAAAGCGCGACAGAGATAGTGAGCGAGAGACAGAGACAGAGGGATAAGCTAAGAAAAGTTAACGTATTATTAATATTTTTTCTTGTTTTCTAATAAATAATATCAGAAGAATATTTTTTTTTAATCGGTTAAGATGTAAGATAAAGGCTAAGAAAAGTTAACGTATTATTAACATTTTTTTTATTGTTTTCTAATGAATTATATCAAGAAAATATTTAAAAAAAAATCGGTTAAGATGTAAGATATTGGCTAAGACAAGTTATCGTATTATTTAATATATTTTTTTATTGTTATCGAATAAACATGATCAGAAAAATACTAAAAAAAAAACGAATTGATTATTTCACAGTTTCTATGCATGACTTTATTAGGGGTATGCCTTGCGCCTTTTTTTATATCGATTTAGAAAATTCCACACGCAACTGGAAAATTGGCGAAAAGTACTAACCGACAACTTTATTGATTACCATTCGAACGACATCAAAGTCATTTCCACAGATCTTTGTGAAAATTTAATTGTGAAATGTTTCGCACTCTTCTTGCAAATTGTATCCGTAATCGATGAAACGTGCCTGTCAAAGTTTGTATGGGCTAAATTTTGAATTCAAACTCATTTTTAGAAATGTGACAAATGTTCAAGCAACAGACTTCTTATACAAAGAAAATAATACACTTTAATTAGTACAATTTAAGAGGAACGACCAGTCACTTTACGTAGGGTATTTAATCACATTCAGACGGATTCAAGCAGCGTCGGTGTATCCGGAATGACTTGTTAGGCAAATGGAGTGGCAACTGTTTGGCTTTCAGTGACGATTCGTAGAATGTAATCCAATTGCAAGCCGGGGGCATCAGCGCGACTCAAAGTCGCTGCCAGGCCACACACCGAAACCAAACTGGCAATCTGATGCGGATGCACTGCTGGCTTTGCTGGCTCTGCCAGGTGCCAAATCCGGCGTGATTGCATTTTCTTTCCCTCTTCTTTTTATTTTCTTTTTTTTCCACTTACAATTTCTGCACCAACAGATGTAAATGCAATGGAACTTATAGCCGTCAGGGCCATGGGGAGCGCTATATTGGGCTCAATACAGCTTCGTTTTTTTTTTTATTTTTATTTTTTTGGTGCGAAATGATGTGGAATTAAGTGCAAAAATATATAAGAATGCAACTGGCACAATGGCCAATGGCATTGGCAATGCCGCAAAAGCATTTGTGCTGATGTAAAAATTTCATTTTCACGTGCTACGTACAAATGATTTCATTTCGCTTCGCTGCACTGCAGCAGAGTCTGCCCCCCGCCGCTTCGAACCGTTCACTGGGCAACCGCAAATGACACGCACGTCGGCGTCATTCATTTTTTTTTTTTTTTTTTTTTTTTTTTTTGGGAGTCGGATCTTGTCAGAGCTTAGTGAAGTGCATATAACGGCCGCGTCATAATAATAAATGGCAAAACGTTTTCAAACTTAAAGCTTTCCAATTTGATTTTATCGCACGGTCATAAACCATCGACGAATCAACCGTTTGCCACTGCAGCATCGAACCAGCGTGAGGGTTTCGTGACAGCAGCGTTTCGACGCTTTTGGCGATTTGCAGCTGCAAGTTCGTTTCTTGATGGCAATTGTCTAGATGCATTTGCAGCGGCAAAGGGTGCGGGCGCTGCATCAACTTTCGTGCCGTCACACCTGGCGTATGAGCGATAAACTACCAAAACGGCGCTGCCCGCTGATAGACAACGTCAGCAGTCTTCAATTCAATGCACGTTTCTAATGCGATGAATTGCTTTTTCAATTTTCCAATTTATTTTTCATTTCGAAACAACCAAGTGTGCGTGTGCCTGTATGTGTTTGCGTGTGTGTGTGAGTGTCCGAGCAAAAGCGAGAGCAAGCGATTGTAAGCTGCGAAGGAAAAGCGTAGCACACTTTATTGATGGTTTTTGTTGGTGCAGTTGGCAGCGACAGACGACGACGCGACTGAACGCATGAGCATGTGTGTAGATTAGGAGCGGGTCGAGGGGACCCACTACAAAGCTGTGCCCACATAGCTCACACACTCGCACGTGTCGATATGGCCATTGACGCAGACACACACACACACACACACATTGAGCAGCGGGAATGGCGCCAGCAACACTCAATTTTTGGGGCAAAAACAGTGCTTGACGCACATTGGAGCAGAAAATTTGACTTTTTGCACTTGTTAGAAAACAAAATAAAAAAAATGGATAGTTTTCGCCGAGGAAATACCCTGTGACAAGTACACAAAAACAAGCATGTAAGTTTAAAAATAATAATAATAACAATTGTATTAAATATAATTAAATCCTAAAAATAATAATATGAACACTAATATCAAGAATAACAATATTAATATTAATATTAATATTAATAATAATAATAATAATATATTAATATTAATATTATATTAATTAATATTAATATTAATATTAATATTAATATTAATATTAATATTAATATTAATATTAATATTAATATTAATATTAATATTAATATTAATATTAATATTAATATTAATAATAATAATAATAATAATAATAATAATAATAAAAATAATAATAATAATAACTGTAAGAAAAAATAATAAAAATAATTATAAATAATAATAAAATGATTAATGAGAATATATATGTAACAATTATTAATACTTATAGTATTATTAATAACAATAACAATAATAATAATAAAAAAATACAATAAAAATAAACATGTGTATTATAATTTCTGTATTAACAATAACCCACTGCTTCCTTCTGCATTCAATATATTCCTATATTTTGATAAATAAATCTTAATCTAATCGTATTTTGACCTTACATTAATTAAAAGTCTTAACAATAGTTACTGCCTTGGATCAGCTGTTGTATGTATATGTGCAATTTCGAGCAAGAGCATATACTCTTTGAAAACAAAAGGTGCCACGGTCTCCTTTGTAATTGGGCCGCTTTCTGCACGAATTTGAAAGTACGCAAAAAAGGCAACCGGTTAACAATCGAAACTTTCAATCTGATACGTAACCGCAACGACGAAAGCGATGGGCTTAAGGACATCAGTTGGGGTTACGGAAAGTGTGGTTATACCAACCACAAGGAAATTGAAAAACAAGTCTATTGGACAGGTCAGGATTTCTGCATTTTGAAGCTGTCTGCCTGGCTTGAATTGGGTTTCTTCAAGACATAAAAATTAGAAATTTCATTGTGATACTGGAAGTCCTATCAACACCCTTTGTTAAACAAACCGAAGTATATGCAATTTTAATGTACTTTTTCTTTAAAAATATTGCCAAATAATATTTATTTTTTGTTATGCTTTGGCTAACTACAAAAACTTTATTGCTTAGGCGCAATTGCAGAGCAGGTGTTTATTTCCATATTTATCATAGCAATTATAAAAATGTTAAATCCCTGAATATCAAGTGAAAGTAATGAAATTTCTGTAGGCGGCCAATCGGGTTTCCCTTTAACTGGATCAATTGGCATAAAAAAATGGTCTATTGTGAATATCATTGTTGATAGTAAAAAAAATAAATCCATTTACCAATTAGAAACACCATGTCACATTCACGCATTGAAGAAGATTACTGGAGACTAATTGAAAGCATTTGAGTAAGGCTCAAAGATATTTAATTCTAATAAAAATTTCCTAAGGTGAGCCAGCTAAACATCCACAGTAGAAAGATTGCATAAGAAAGCAACCATTAAGCCAATTTGTGATAAATAGAATTATGTGAATATAATTCAATTTAAATTAAATTAAAGGAAATCAAGTTGTCTTATAAGCCCAAGCCTGTACTAATGAATGTCGAAGCCCGGTTCGAACTAACTTTTACTTATTGAGCGTGTAAATATTATGATACTGAGACAGCGAGTACAGTGTGCAGAGAAGTTGAAGAGGAAATCTCCATTGAATTGGCTGGGCGAGTGTTTTTCTTTCGATTTGCGCTGCTTGCTGCTCGGCAACAAAACTATGAATTGAATTGAGTTGATTTGATTTATATCACTTGTGTCGATTTGTAAAGGAGCCCGGCACCACCCTGCTCTATAAATCAGTGTCATGCAGAATGAAAGTCGCATAAATTTCCATTTCGATTTCGATTTCCTTGCCAGAAGGCGGCCCCTCGACGGTGTTGTTTGCTTAAGGAGAAGGGGGCACCAGCTGGGAGAATGGCAGCTGACATAACTGGTCTCTAATTACGTTTGGGCAAACAAACAAAATTGCAGGTGTCAAAACATGAAGTGGGCCCCAGTTGGGCAAAGTGTGCCGACTGACTTCTGGGTCATTTGTGGATGCAACGCGATGGCGAACGGCTGGTTACATCTTCTCCTCTTGGCCCTAGGCTGCCTAAGCTGTCAGACCAGGCGAGCCCAGTTGGATGTGCTGCTGGCAGAACCCATGCGCAGCATACCCTTTCTCCATGTGCTGCTGCGGCGCGAGCAGCTGCAGGAGGATGCCCGCAATGGGCATGCCATGTGGTTTATGCAGCACGCCGATATGCCGCACAGCGTGCACAGCTACATGGAGGAGCAGCCGGTGGAGATGGCTAGCAGCTTGGTCGGCGTGGATAGCCGGGACAGCTTTGCCCTGGTCATCAGTCTGGCGCAGTTGATATCGAACCGCGGCGCCGCCAGCATAACAGAGCGCGCCGGCGTCCATTTCTATATAGTGGCTGATACTCTGGACAGCCTGACGCCGGAACAGCAGCTGCAGCTGGCTCATAGCTGTCGCCAGCTGTGGACACAGCATAGAGTATTCAATCGCTACATAATCACAGATACCGACATCTGGATCTACGATCCGTTTGCACGCAGCGCACAAGCCACCTGGGATGGCAGCTACAATGATCAATGGGGCAATGACAACGAGTATGAGAACTCCTTTGGCCGCCTGGTGCCATATGCGGGTGGCGAGGCATTGCCCCATCTATTATTCCATGACATGAAGGGCTATCCGTTGCGCGTGCAAATCTTTAAGTCGGTCTATTCGCGTCCAAAGCTGGATCCCCAAACGGGTCTGCTGCGCCGCATCACGGGCGTCGACTGGGAGGTGGCTAAGGAGATAGGCGAGCTGCTCAACTATACGATGCTGCTGCAGCAGCCGGACAAGAACTATTTTGGGTAAGTAGCCCTCTAGTCTAGCAGCTGGAACTGTTCTTCAGCTTCTTTTTCTGCTCTTTTTCGCCAGGGAGCGCAGTGCCAATGGCAGCTACAATGGAGCCATTGGCTCCATTCTGAACGATGGCCTGGACATTTGCTTGACGGGCTTCTTTGTCAAGGATTATCTGGTTCAGGATTACATGGACTTTACAGTTACTGTCTACGATGATAAATTGTGCATCTATGTGCCCAAGGCCAGTCGTATTCCACAATCCATTCTGCCCATATTTGCGGTGGGCTATGACATCTGGCTGGGCTTCATCCTGATGGCCTTTATATGCGCCCTCATTTGGCTGCTGCTGCGTGTGATCAATCTGCAGCTGCACATTGTGCGAATTAGAGGACGCCGTCTGTGGCAGCAGGCGCTGGGCATTGTGGTGGACACGTGGGTGGTTTGGGTGCGGGTGAATCTGTCCCATCTGCCGGACAGCTATGCAGAGCGCATGTTCATTGGCTCACTGTGCCTGGTGAGCGTCATCTTTGGTGCCATATTTGAGTCAAGCCTGGCCACCGTCTATATACATCCGCTCCACTATAAGGATATCATAACACTTCAGGATCTGGACGAGAGCGGCCTCAAGGTTGTCTACAAATACAGCTCTATGGCCGATGATTTGTTCTTTAGCGAAACGTCGCCGCTGTATGCCAGCCTCAACAAGAAGCTCCGGTGGAATCCGGATCTCAATGCGGATGTCACCAACGAGGTGGCTACCATTGGCGGCAAGGCCGGCGTCTCGCGCTACTCCTCGCTCATGATGGAGTCAGTCAACTTTTTGCTTATGCGCCGCATTTGGGTGGTGCCCGAGTGCCCCAAATACTATACCATCTCCTATGTAATGCCCAGGGATGCGCCCTGGGAGGAGGCGGTCAATGCACAGCTGCTGCGCCTGCTCAACGCGGGTCTCATTCCCAAATGGATCCAAGATCAAAAGTACAAGGTGACCGTTGAGACGCGCACTGCCCTCTTCCACGCCGAAGCCGAGGCCAGCCAGATTCGTGTCCTGACCATTGGTGACTTGCAGCTGGCCTTCTATGTGGTTATTGGTGGCACAATAATTGCCTCTCTTGGATTTTTGGCGGAGCATGCCTGGGCCAGGCGCCGTTTGCATCAGGCTGCAAAGAATCTCTAAATGCTGGTAGTGCTGGAGAAGAGTTTAGCGCTTACATACAAGCTGGTAATTGCAAAGATTCTATCCGGCAAAATATAATTTATGAAGTGCATTATCCAATATATAAAACACTGCTGACCCATCTTTGGGCTTCTTTGTTTTCTTGTTATTCCTTCTACCCATTAAAAGTGAGTCAAGTATAATGTTAACGTAATGTAATAGGCGGGAGCAGGCTTATCCGACTCTTTCAATTTATATTCCTGATCACGCCATGTGAGTCTGTCCATTCGCCTGTCCAGAGACTAAGATCTAGGGACTTCAAATCGATAGCTACCTCTGTTTTTCCCGAAATCGATTTGTATTGAGTTTCAGCCTAGGGTTTTCGAGATTAGCAGAGTTAAAGACACCAAAGTTGGTATGGCATGTATATACATACGTATACATTACGTTTAAATACTTTTAAAATATTTTATCCACATGGTCTATTAAAAAAGTTACATTTCTTAACTTCGATATGACGAGGGTTTAATACACTTGTAGGCAGATATGTTAGGATAATTGTAAAGCCCAAAATTACATAGTTTGATTTAGATATTTTGTATATAAAAACTAATTTTTCGACCGATTCTTCCAATAGAGCTTTATGATATAGTAGACCAATGTTTTGCTCTTAAGCAGATTGCTTGGTAAAACCCGTCAATTGGACAAGATTTCTTGTAAGCTAAAATAGTTTTTCAACCAGGAGCTCAATTTTTGCGACAAGGTATATCATATACCTTTCTGGTTCGATCTGGTCTATTGCCACGAACTGTCTGCAACAGGAAGACGAGCCCATGCAAAGCTTGCATAGAAACCGCCTTAGGCGCTATCGACTTAACTGTTGATACTGATCAAGGATATGTATTTGCTTGAGATACGAGAATTCTCCTTTCATGCGATACACATGACAATATTTATCTATATTTCGATAGTCTCACTCGTTACAGCTTAAATTATATTTAAGATATGAATCTGTACTGTTTGCAAGCGCTCATCACGAAAAATTATCCATTGACCCAAATCTGGGCGACTTCAATGCAAGAAAAATGCCTTACATCAATTTCGACTGACGTCCAACTACGCTTTCATCCCGTTTAAGAATTTGGGTTGACTATTTTTCCTTTCATTTTGTGCGATGATTGCAAATTTCATTCGCCAAAGGCCAGCCGCCAAAATCAACCTGCGATTTCAACACACACACTAACACACACACACACAGATACACACAAATACACACAACTGCTGAATCGCTTATATAATTTAGCCATGTTAACAATGATACGCGCCAACGGCAATGGAAATTCGGAGGGTACCCAGGGGCTGCTCACAAATCGAATTGCCAGCACCCAAATGTATATTGCACAATTCAAGGCTGCATTGCAAACGCAAGTACAGTAGTCTCTGGCTAGCACGGCATACATAAATGAAAAAGGACAGCTGCCGTGCGGCAAGATTTAGCTCTGAGCGAAACTCGTGTCTGGCATTATTGTCTGGTAAATACTGTACCATTAGCATAGCGCACATAAGAGATATTCACTGTGGTCGCATTACGCACGATGTGTGCGTGGTTGGCTCTCTGTTTATTTAGCATTTTGGGTCTGCACACGAAATTACAATTAAACGGCCTCAGTGGCAGCGACAAAATCTCATTTAGGCATTCAAATGTGCACTTCATATACACACAAGCACACTCACACACAAACATGTGTATATGTGTATTTGCACGTATACGCATACTCCCAAAACAGGAAGGTACCGACACAATTAAATATGCCTCAGTTTATTGCATCTCAACTGCAACGATGAAGACCTAGACAAACATATATAAATATATAAACATATAAATATATATATATATATATATTTATGATTGCAACAATAATACTCGTAATGTTCAAGTTGCTGTTGTTTATTGTTCTAGTGCTTGTATCTGTAGGCTATAATTCATTAGATATCTGCCTGCTAAAGCTTGCGACTAATGGGTTGAGCTAAATTGCCTAAGCGCTTTGGCAGACAAAGATTTTGTGATAATTGAAATTCCAAGCCAAATCTAAATGGTTCGAACTTAAACTTAAATCAAATTAAACAAATTACTCATTTCCTATCAGCTCTACACTTTGCAGTTTGACATTTTTGCCATAACGCTTTGGGAATTTTAAGCGTCAATTTCTTTAATAAAGAAGCATATATTTGTATTACTATGTGATAATCCGTTCTATTGTCTGAATAAAGTTAACACACATATATATAATATATTAATATGTACTTACCTAAGCAAACGTGTGGCTGTAAAACCAATGATTAGATTGTTGCCAATTATTTATGGAATTTATCAGTCTTTTTAATATAGATACGCATCACTGAAAGAACATAGAGAAGTAGAGAATTAGTTAGAGAAGAAGCACTAGTTAGACGGCGTAGTAAAATATGAGAAGGAAACAAATAAAGATATATGGGAAAAATCCTGGTAGAAAAAAAACTCTGATGAGAGTGAGAGCTCAAGTGTTCATATAACACTTATAAGCAAAGCATGGACACCTGTAGGGCTTACTTGAAATTCGGAGAATCGCAAAGCAGGGCAGAGTCTAAAAGTACGTTTTATTGTAAATGAGCAGCGCAGCGGGAAGTAAACTTTGTCTGCGTTTGGCATAAGGGAAGACACATGCATGCCCACGTGTACGTTTGATTGTATATGGACAATCTTATATATAAAGACATGGATACATATATACATTTATACAGCGACGGGTTAAATGGGATGACAGGGAGCATTATATGCATGTTTGTGACGACACATTTAGCAGAGCTCCGCTATTGCTCTTTTGCCTATGAATTAAACTAAGCCTTTTGAGGCAGTTGGCTAAAAAAACTGTTGCATATGCCCAGGCAAAAAACGAGGAACGCGACTATGGTTCTTTTTTTTATACCCTGAACACATTAAAAATGGGTATAAGGGTATATTGTATTTGTGCGAAATCCAAATGTATGAAACAGGCAGAAGGAAGCATCTCCGACCCCATAAAGTATATATTCTTGATCAGAACCAATAGCCGAGTCGATCTAGCTATGTCCGTCCGTCCGTATGTATGATCGACTTTGTTTCCGATAATCGATAACTTACTCAGTTTCCAAGCAATCGATAAAAATCGATATCGATATCCTGTTTTTATAATAAGAGCTAGAGTCACCAAACTTGACATATAGCTTCTAAAATAGAATATATATATGCATTTGATGTTGGAAGAAGAGGGTTCAGGGTATCGCCTAGTCGAGAGCTCCCGACTGGAACCTCTTACTTGTTTTTTTTTGTAGTAAAGCTAATGAGCTTTTGACACGCGCTTCCTGAGTTGCAACCGTCGCATTTTGAGTGCTCAATTGAGCAGCTCAGCGAGGCCAGGGGGCGGGAGCGGGGGCGGTATGCGTAAAGGTGTTTCGGCGGAGAGGCCAAATCGAAGAGCTATCCGGAGCCAGACGCCGCCTTAGGACAAACATTGCCAGAGACGTGCCGCGCATTCTAATGAAGTTGGAATGACATGGAATCTGGCATTGAATACGCGCAGCCAGCCACTTAGCCGGCCACTCAGTCAGACAGTCTGCCAGTCTGTTTGTCTGTCAGAGAGTCAATCAGTCGGCATTTGAATATGCAAGCACTAGCAGAAATGTAAACTTGATGATCTCGTTAATAGCCAATTGAAAAGCCCGTGACTTTGGGTGCCGGCTATAGGGTATACAAGGTATGGGTTATAAAGCAACTATCTGTTTCATATGCACCCTATCAAAACTCTGAACTCGCAAATTGTCAACTTTTATGGCCGACAAAGAAGTGGCTATCAGCGGCGCCGGGCTTTTTATGGCTAATTAATAGCCCAGCGACCGTTGAACCGCTTTGATCGTCGTGTGCAGATGTTTTATGTATTTCAATCAATGTTTAGCAGATGCAAATCATATCATGGTATTCAGTTTTTATGGGCACGAAATATGTTGGCAGGCGGCTGGTTTGGCCGATTTTCTAAATAACATTTCGTATTGGAATTTCCCCTTGGCACGTCCACTTTCCATTGTTTTGCGGCAAAAATCATGCTGCCTGTCCAACAGATACCCAGTGTATTCCATTTCAATTAATGTTTAAGTGTTCAATAATATTGCCAACTATTATTAATCGATAAATTTAGCTTAGTTTTGGGCGTAAAAAAATTTAAATTTAATTTGTCATCATTTTATTTTATAAGCTGATAAATTTCATGCAAACGAAATTATTAAAAAATTAAATTTTAAGTCTTTAAAAGTTGATTACTTTCTGGTAAACACTTAAAATTGCTTCTGCAGCATCAATTAGCCAGATATTGCGTATATATATTTATATAGGAGCAACAAATTGATTTATGGAAATTCGCATTCAAACAAGTATGCAAAATAAAATTGTATGTAAATTATATTCCATTTGATAGCCATATTTTTGTGAATATTAAAAAAAGGATTGCTGAAAATATTTTCACTATTTCATGCGAGTCACGTACAGCCTTGGAGTGTTTTAAATTGCAATTAACCAAGCGAAGCTGTGAATTTTCAATTTCACGGATATTTCAATACAAATTGATAAACGCTGATCCGAAAATCCAATAAGAACTTCGATTGTAGGGCCACCCAGAGCGTGTTGTGCTAGCTCCGCAGAGCTGTTCAGCTCTATACAATGGAGCAACTACTTCATGCACGCACAAACACACTCACACATATACACGCACACACACACACACACACACACGTGATGTACATGCATATATGTATAAATAATTCAAATTCCAAAAATAAAATAAGACTCGCGACGCGCGCACCGAGCACATCAAATTTTAGTTTATTTCCGAATCATAACTTTTGTTTATCTTCAATTTGGGTTTGTTGCTGTTGATTTGACCCGATGCTAATGCTAATGCTGCTGCTGCTGCTGCTGCTGCTGCTGTTGCTGTTGCTGCTGCTGCTGCTTC